AGGTTCCAAAGACCAGGTTGTCATACCAAAGTCAGCGTAAGTGAGAGTTGGGGCTATGCGATGACATTATCCACAGAGCACCTCCGGCATGCCTTGGGATGGATGTGGTGTGGCAGCACCACTTCTAGAGCAGCAGGGGCCCACTATCACCTGGTGTGCTCCAGGCCTTCCTTTCCACCTTTCTGCCCCACAGACAGGCCTGGGCCAGGACAAACCTGTGGAAGTGGTGGAGAGGGTGCTTTGGAAAGAGAGACTTCTGAGCTCCCTACTCTCTCCTACCCACCTCCTAAAAGCTGCCCTGCCTGCACTCACTCCTCCACCTGAGCTCTCTCACAAAGCTCACCCTCTCCTCCTTCTCCTCTAGACTTGGCTCCTTGTTAATGCTCAATATAGACAGACTTTACTACTCTCCTAAATATGAATTGTCAAGTGAGATAGTGGATGAGTGAGGAGTAGGTGTGGGAACGGTCCACAGATTCAGAATTCACCAGTTGCATTCTGCTAAGCATCTCCAATTTCACTGCTTCTATACATCAGAAAAATACAACACAAAAAGCCAGCCAATCTCTCATTAATCATAACCAGCTGAATTTCCTCCTGACATTTTCAAAAAGTTTAGTTCTGACAAATTTCTATATATATGGTAGAATTTATGCTCATATATCCTGAAAAGAACATAAAACTACCCCAAAAGAAAGACAAATATGAGTTTTAATCATTTTTTTAGTGTCTTGAGGATTTTTTGAGGGGATAGATTTGTTTTGTTTAGTATTAAAAATGCACACTTTAGGTTTAAGTCTATATTCTAAGAAAACAATAAAGCACACAGGATAACCATTATTTCTATTACAAAAACTGCATCAGAACACAGGATCTAAAGATACTATTTAAATTCATATGCTGCCCTCCAACTACAGGTCCCCTTCCCCTCCCACTGCTATTTTCCCCCTTAACACTCTTCACTGTTTAATACACTATACACTATATTGATGTCTTATTGTTGTTGTTAAGTGTCATACAAGTTAGTTTTGACTTATATCCTGCATAGGGTTTCTGAGGAGTGGCTGGTAGGTTTGATCCACTGACCTTGTGGTTAGCAGTCCAGTGCTTATTCTACAGCACCACACCAGGACTCTATTATTAGGTGTGTTAATTGTTGGTCTCCACTAGAATGTAAACTCTTCAAAGACAGAGATATCCATCTGTTTTGTTCACTAATTTATCCCAAGCTCCTAGAACAATCCAGTACTATAAGGATTAAAAAAGGTAAGACTGATTGGAGAAATGAATGCATAGTTAAGCTGGGAAACCTATTATGCACAGGTAAGAAATTCCTCACCCTCAAGGCACTTCATTGTGAAGACAGAGATTTAATTAACAGCCCTGGTCATGCAGTAGTGAAGTGCTTGACTGCTAACTGAAATACTGGTGGTTCAAACCACCATCCACTCTGTGAGAGATAGATGTGGTGATCTGCTTCCCTAAAGTAGACATCTTTGGAAACCCTATGGGGCAGTTCAACTCTGGTCTATAGGGTTGCTATAAATGCGAAATCTACCTGAGGGCAATGGTTTGGTTTGTTTTCATTCAATATAAAACACAATGCTTGGCCTAGATCCAGAGGGCACAGAGGAAGGTAGAATCTCCACTGAGTAGTATCCAATCTGTCTGGGTGGTGCTGATGAAAGGAGATGGCGATAGGACTCCTATGGTACAATAGTGAATAACTGTTATCAGGACTGACTGTGAGGGTTGGAAATGTAAAGGTAGACGTTTTGTAGCAAAAGGAGGCAAGTGATTGACTTTGCAATCCAGGAACGGAGGTCCCTGGGACCATAAAGGGAGAATAGCAGAGTGCAGAACCCTACCCAGAGAAGTAATGACACCACAGATGGAGGGAGAGACGATGACGTGGAGAGAGGGAAAGGCTGGAGACTCTAGACCTAGAGAGGGAGTGGGACTGTGTGCTGATAACCAGGGGGCAGGCTTGCAGGGTATACCCTTTGGTTGGTTGATGATGCATGGAGGGGATAGTAACCATGGCAATGAAACAATATACGCTAGGATGAATGTAAAGCTAATGTTCTCTCCCATGTAAACTATCACATAATTCATAAAACATTAAAAAAAAAAAACCACAACACAATGTTTGCATATCAAAGTGAAATGTAAACAAGATTCTATCACAGACACTGTTCATTATGAGCATGAATTCATCTCAGAAGACAGTATGTGAATAATTAAATGACCCAATAGTTGTTATAAATCTTTTCCTGGTAACGTGCTGAGTGAATGACATCATTAGGAAGATACTCTGGTAGCGTAGCAGTTACGAATCGGGCTGCGAGCTGCAAGGTCAGCAGTTCGAAACTACCAGCCGCTCCGTGGGACAAAGATGAGGCGGTGTGCTCCCGTAAAGATTTACAGCCTTGGAAACCCTGTGTAGGGTCACTATGAGTCGGAACCGACTCCACGGCACACAACCTTGGGCTTATGAGAACCTAAACTTTCAGTGCATTTCAGGTAAGGAAAACAACTTTAGTATTTCTTTTACAATCAAGTGCAAACAAGACATGCATTCATTCACCTAGTCTTTCAACAAAGTTTAATTGAGCCTTTTCCATGTGCCTGACAGTGGCCTCTGCATCAGAGAGGCATACAAGACAATCTCTGCTCTCATGGTCTCAATATTTAGTGAAGGAGAAAAACATTAAAACAAAATGATAGGAAACTAAATTACGAGCAAGTACAAGAAGTACTTTGAGAAAATGGAAGGATTAAGTGGTTTGGTCTGAAAGGGCCAAGAAAGGCCTGGTTCTGGATTGAAAAAAGAAAAACACCCTCAAAACAAAACAAAAAAAGCCCTCATATAAATGGCCCATCAGCTTCTTCTTTTCAATGTCTTTACCTCTGAAGTCAGGGGACTTAGGTTTGAATTCCAGTTCTGTTACATATATTTACTGCATGACTTGGAAAAGTTACATAACCTGAACTTCAGCGTCTCTTTTGTAAAGTAGTGTTCTCATAGTGATTAATAGTGTATATAAGGCACTTCAGATGTGCTCCCTGGCATAGAAGTGCTTATGACATGGTAACTATTATTTATGATCTCCTCGTCTTACACAGTATGATCTCGTTTTATACTGCCTGCTGATCTAGAGGGCCTCTTTGAGTTTGTACTTTTAATTTGGCAATGAATCAGAATTTTAAAAGAGCTACTGAACCTACACATTTTCTACTTCTAAAATTTTATTATAAGAAAATAATAACACAAGAGCTGAGCATGTACATTCAATGGAGCTTTTAAAATAAAAACAACCAACATGCTTGTTAATAGGTAATGGTAAACAAATATGGTTTACCCAAACAACAGACTATTTTGTTAAAAGAATAAAACATTTATAGGTACTAAAATGAAGAGATGCTTAAGCAGAAAAATGAAGTGGCAGAATAGGAAATATAGTAGAATTCCACTTAAATGTTTTAAAAGGCATGTATAAGACTATACTCATACAAAGAAAATCCTAGAAAAATATAGTGCATCAAGTTTACTAGCATTCTCCTCTGAGAGTAAGCCTGAATGCTTGTTTTCATCATTGTACTAAGCTGTGTGAAACATAAAGCCTAGACAGAAGAGATGCAGGCCTAAGGCTCACAAAAACACAAGTCGTTGTCTTCAAATACATTCCTTAAATTATCATCCTATCGCTAATATTTTTATACATCCAGGAAAACACAGACCAACAATATAAGCAGGTCTTAAACACGACAAAGAAAATCAATTTTTGAGAATGTTAGTTATTCAACTTCTGCACACAACAGTTGCAGAAGACTTGAGAATACAGACTTTGGAAGTGTAGGATGCCAGCACCTAGCTCAGTATTCATTTGTCTATTCTAACAACATAGAGTGTCAAGCAGCGCTTTATGTATAACAGTGCTTTAAGTATAAAAATGCTTCCTAAATCATATGCTATTACCACCGCCCAAATTTGCTAAAAAGTAACTATCTTTCCATGCACAAATACACTACAAAAATATTTTGTGTGGCATCTATTACTGTGTGGCTTCTACCACACTGAACCTAATTTAAGTTTCATGTTGAATATGCCTTTGAATGAATGCACTCAAAGACCTTACAATCACAGAACCCATTCAACACCTGGTATAGTGCTATAGGTTAATGTGCATCAGACTGCAAAACCATTTGAACTGTAAGGTTGGTGGTTCAAGCTTACCAGTTGCTCCTCAGAAACCCTACATAGGGTCACTATGGGTTGGAACCGACTCGATGGCACTTAATAACAACAACAAATTCAACATTAAGAAAACAGAGTGTATATGTCTCCTGAAATGGCACAAAGACATATTCAAAGACAAACAGTGCACTTTGGGGAGGGTTCTCTTATAGAAATCAAGGACACTCTCCACTGATACCAGAAAACTTTTTCTGCATAAGAAATAATGTGTTTTCGACAACTGTGAAATTTTTCAAGTACATTTCATTCCTCAGATACAGACAGAAGTCAACATATCAAAATATGAACACATAATTTATATACATAGCTGTCACTTACACAGTGTGTAAAGTCAAACAAATAATAATAATAATAAAAAACAAATGAGTTGCCATGAATCTGAGAACTGCATGTGGTAGCAGAACTCATGTGACAGCAGAACTGTGCTCCAGAGGGTTTCTGAGGCTGTACATATTTATGGGAGCACAAAGCCACATCTTTCTCCCATGAAACCATTGACCTTATGGTTTAGCAGCTCAGTGTGTAATCCACTATGCTACTAGGCAGGGCTCCTTATCCAAATAATAGAAATGTAGTCCTGGTATGGTGCTACAGGATAAGTACTGGACTGCTAACCACAAGGTCAGTTCTTCAAACTCATCAACTGCTCTTTGGAAACCCTATACAGGGTTGCTATAAGTAGGAACCAACACGATGGTACTTAACATTAACAACAACATAACAACATATTAAACATACTTACCATTGAAAGGATTGATTCCTGCCCTTATTCGTGAAATAATAGCTTCTTTTACTTCTTTTTTCTTTACACATCGAATACCCAAATTTTGAAAACTAGAAGGGAGAAAATAAAACTTTTAAAGCTGAACTACAGTTAAATACAATGGCCCACAGATAAGATTCAACTTGCAGAAAACAAACATACATTCAACATGGAAAAGTTACCATAGTGGTAGACAGCAACATTAAAGCATAAAATGTATTTCCAAGTGCTATAGGATACGCACTGGATTGCTAATCACAAAGTTGGTGGTTCGATCCTACAAGCTGCTCCATGGGAGATGCAGTTTTCTTCTCCTATAAAGATTTACAGCCTTAAAAACCCTATACAGGGTCACTATGAGTCAGAACTGAATCCATGGAAATTAACATGATAAAATACAAAGGTAAAAAATGGAGTTAATATTTCTATGAGAACTGCTAAAAGGAAAATAATATATACTATATTATTTTTGAAGTCCTGGTGTGGCGCTGTAGGATAACACTGGGCTGCTAACTTCAAGGTCAGCAGTTCAAACCCATCAGCCACTCCTGGAAAACCCTATAGAGGATTGCTATCAGTAGAAATAAACAATAATACAACAACAATATGCTTAAAAGGAGTCCTGGTGGCATAGTGTGTTAAGCATTGGTAGCTCCAACCCATCAATCACACTTGGAGAAAAAAAACGAGGCAGTCGGCTTCTGTAAAGATTTACAGCCTCCGTATCCTATGGAACAAGTTCTATTTTGTCCTATCGAGTCACTATGAGTCAGAATCGATTCAATGGCAGTGATAGGTTTTTAAAATGTGAATAAAGTTCTGTTGGTACAATATTCAAGCTTGGCTGCTAACAAAAATGTCAGGGTTCAAACCCACCCAGCAGCTATGTGGGAGAAAAGACCTGGTGATTTGCTCCTGTAAAAATTATAGCCTTTTTAATATTGGTGTGGTGCTATGGGTTAACGCGCCATACTGCAAAGCCGTTTGAACTGAGAAGTTGGTGGTTCAAGCTCACCAGCTGCTCCTCGGAAACACTATACAGTGTCACTATGGGTTGGAATTGACTCGACGGCACTTAACAACAACTACAACAATAGTGTCAATAAAGGAGCTCTGGTAGCGCAGTGGTTACAAATTAGGTTGCTAACCTCAGGGTCAGCAGTTCGAAACTACCAGCTGTTCCGCGGGAGAAAGATGAGGCTTTTTGCTCCCATAAAGATTTACAGCTTCAGAAAACCTGGATAGGGTCGCTATGAGTTGGAACTGACTCCACAGCACATAACCACCACCAGCACCACCATAGTGTCACTAGGAGTCCTGGTGTGGTACTGTGGGTTAACGCGCCACACTGCAAAGCTGTTTGAACTGCAAGGTTGACAGTTTAAAATCACCAGCTGCTCCTCAGAAACCCTATACAGGGTTGCTATGGGTCGGAACTGATTCAATGGCACTTAACAATATAATGTCAGTAAGGAGCTTTGGTAGCGTAGTGGTTACGAGTCGGGCTGCTACCCTCAAGGTTAGCAAATCGAAACTAGCAGCCATTCCAAGGGAGAAAGATGAGGCTTTCTGCTCCCATAAAGATTTACAGCCTCGGAAACCCTATACAGGGTCACTATGAGTCAGAAGCGACTCCACGGTACTTAACCATCATCATCACCACCATAGTGTCAGTAGGACTATTCAACAACATGCTGCCAACGTTTCAAAATCAGCTAATTACGTATAAACATCTGGATTTCTGGCTCCTCTTGAACATTTGATATGTCTGGCAAGACTAGTTGGCAAACAACAGGCCGGAGCTGAGCACCTGGTACTTCATCACACAGGGCTCTTCAGTTTGCTACAGGCCCTGCTGGTCACTTACACCTCACCTGGTAGTGATGGTGGCTGGGCGCTACAAAGTCGGTTCCAAGTCACAGCGACGCTGCATAGGCTGTAAACCTTTATAGGAGCAGAAAGCCTCACCTTTCTCCCACAGAGTGCCTGATAGACTTGAACTTCTGTGAGCAGCCCAACACGGAACCCACTCTGCCAACAGGGCTCTTGCGCCTGACCTACTCACTCATTCAAGTTGCCTGCCGAGCCCACACACATTTGGTTTTGACCCCTGATTTTACTGCGAGCAGCAGTGGAATGTAATATGGTTTGTGCCATTACTACATGAAGTTGTAATCATTCATTATAAGTTTGAAGTGTGTTTTTTAAAACATTACAGAGAGATTTAATACTAGCAATAAAGTGTAACAGACATTTCAGATGTCTTTTATGGAAAACTTCTCAACAGATACAAATATGACTGATTTGCATATGTGTAGTACAGATCATAATGGGGGACGTCCCTGCCACTGCTAGTCATACTAGTTAGTTCCCACATGGAAAAACCATGACATCATTACAGTTGGGTGGGTGTGAATAAGGAAGCAAAACTCAATTCTAATAGCATTATTGTTTGTTTCAACTTTATAAAATAACTAGCAACAGACAGCTGCTTCTGTGCCCCTCTCCCTGGTCTTGCTAAGCCTTAGGCTCATGCTCTTCACTCATCACACTTCTGATTTTGCTAGCATCTAAAATATCTCTGAGATTTCCTTCCTCTGCCTCTCCAATAACTAAAAAACTATGTCTGAATTTTCAATGCTTACTTGAAATCCTAAAGTTACACCTCTCTTCCTCAAAAGTATTCCACTTCTTTTGAAAGATTCTTAAGCTTGGTTTTTTCTTTTTCTGACAAAAAGGTTTTAAGGAATTCTTCATTTCAACATATTTAAGTACGATCTGATTTTTTTATTATCTGAGTTAATACACTAGACTGCTATTCACATAATATTTGAAGTAGTGGGGATTTCTGAAATTCAAGACTCGTTGGGATTAAGTAATTTGTTAAAAAAAAACAATTGCTTTCAAGAAGCAAAAGTTCAAAAAAGCATTATAATGTCTGCAGCACCCAAAGAATCAACTGTGTAGTCACTGATTGTTAATTTACAATCCCTCAGTAAGTTTTGAGATTTCTACTATGTACCAGAAAGCACTGAGAATATACATTCCCTCAGTTCATAGAGTCTAGTCTACTGTAACCAAAACCACACCCACTGCCAGTGAGTTGATTCTGACTCATAGTGACTCTACATGGGGTTTCTGAGAGTGTAATTTGTTATAGGAAGAGACAGCCTTATAGCTCTTCTGAGGAGCAGAACCTTGAGGTTAACAGTCAGTACTTATTGTACAGCACCATACACAAAGACTCCACAGTCCACTATGGTGGCTGCATACCGTCGAGTCAGTTCCGACTTACAACGACTCTAGAATTTCCAAAGTTCTAAATATTTACAGAAGCAGAAAGCCTCATCTTTCTCCTACAGAGCAACTGGTCAATTTGAACTGCTGGCCTTGCAGTTAGCAGCCCAGCTCATAGTCCACTAAGCTACAAGTCTACTATATTGTTATTGTTGTTGGGTCAATTCTGACTCACAGTGACCCTGTAAAGGGCTTCCAAGAAGCAGCTGGCGAGTTCGAACTGTCAACCTTGTGGTTTGAAGTCCAGTGCTGATTCTACAGTGCCAAGTTGGCAAACTATAACCCATGGACCAAACCCAGCCTGCCATCTGATTTTTTGTAAATGGAGTTTTATTAGTACACCATCACACATATTTACATATGCACAGTCTAGATACTTTGTGCTACTGTAGCAGAGTTGAGGATATATATAACAGAGGCTGCATGGCCTATAAAACCTAAACTATTTACTATCTGGTTTTTTACAAAAAAAAGTCTGCTGACCTCTACTCTAGTGAGAAGTAGTTATTAAACAATCACACACACAAAGACGCAACATGATGTTATGGGAACATATAATAAGAGAATTGATCAATTCAGGAAGCGAAAACTGGCTTCCTGTAGGAAGCCCTGGTGTGGCGCAGTAAGATAAGCACTGGACTGCTAACCGAAAGGTCAGTGGTTCAAACCCACCAGCCATACCTAGGAAGCCCTCTAGAGGTCGCTATGTATGGGAACTGACTTGACGATACTTAGTAACAACAAGTAAAGAGGCGAGAAAAGCAACTTCCAGGCAGAAGGAATAGATCATGCAAAGGTCCCTGGAAAAGAACACCATGAGCTTAGGAAACAAAAGGCAAGCCTGTGTGACTTCAGTGCAGTCATCAAAGGGAGTATGTTACACTGGAAAGCAGTGATGGTCTTGCAGGCCACATAAGGACATTGTGTATTCCACAGCATACAAGACCATTAAAATGTGTTAAACAGAGGGGGGAGGAGTGACACTTTTTATTAGAAACAATCACTTTGGCTGACATGGAAGACAGATTAGAGAGGAGCAATACCAAGAAGCTGCAAGAAAACCAGTGAGGAGGCTATCCCAGTAGCCCAGATTCAGACTATGGATAGTAGGGGAGTAGCAGAGTTCACCAAGAGATGTAGTTTGACACAAAACTTATTTAAGAGGTACCTGATAGTAGATCCAGTATTTGTATACTTATGTAAAGGGTGTCAAGGATAATACTTTAATTTGGGGCTTTTATAGCAACCAGTAAGATAAGACCAGTCCCTGGAGAAGGACATCATGCTTGGAAAAGTGGTGAGTCAGTAACAAGAGGACAACCCCTAACAAGATGGACTGACACAGTGGCAGCAACAAAGGGCTCAAACATAACAATTGTGAGGCTGGTGCAGGACCAGGCAGGGTTTTGTTTTAATGTGCACTGGGCTGCTAGGAGTCAGAACCACTGGATGGCACCTAACAACAACATAAGGAGCACTGGAAAAAGATAAACTTTTCAGGAGAAACAGGTAATGTAGAGGTAAGATTATGGTTTAGCACATATTTTATTTGAGATGCTTTTGAGATATCTAAGAGACTATGTCAAGAAGGCAATTAAACTAAATACTATTCTTCACTGAAAGGAACTTGGGCTCCTTGAAACAAAATGGGGTTGGAGGAGAAAAAATAAGGAAGAGCTCAAAGAAATGATGAGAACAAAACTGCACAGAACACAACATGAAGGGGCTTGCACTGGTCAAGTTTACAATTAGAAAACGCTACAAAACAGTGCCTGCTAAGGGACTATTATAGATTGAATAATATTTTTTAAATAATCTATAGGTCCACAGTGCTTAAAAATAATTTTTTTTTAATGGAGAAGATGGGAACATTACTTTTTACAGAAGAATTCCAATAAATAAATATAGACGGAATAGCAGAATTTAAAGAAAAATCATCATTTTATAATCACTATGCATGACAGACTTGGATAGTAATTACCAATGGAAGCCAAAAAATATTTGGAGAATATAATATTCACTGTCTCAAAAGTGTTCCACAGATTACTTCATTTCAAAAGGAAAAAGAAATCTTGGCATTGGAGAAATCTTGCCAAGCGATCCAACTTGCTATAACCAAGAAAAGAAAAAAAACTGGCATTACGTCTCCTAAAGGAATACTCTGAGAAGGATACAGCATCACCTCTGTAGATTTCTTACCCAAAATGATTAACATGAGCAACGATTCACACTAATCTATACTGAGAGACCATCTTTAAGACAACTAGCCCAAGACTCTTCAAATACGCTGATGTCAAGAAAGTCTCAAAGAAGCTAGGGAACTGTGTATATTAAAGGAGACTCAGCAGGCATGACAATAAATATAATGTGAGATTCTTACCAGAATCCTGGTTTGGGGGGTAGGGGAGATAACTATGACAATAACTGAAGTGGTCCAAAATTTAACTGCCTGTAACTGAGGCTGGGAGTCCTGGTGTGGTGCTAGGGGCTAATGTGTCAGACTGCAAAGTCGTTTGAACTGCAATGTTGGTGGTTCAAGCTCACCAGCTGCTTCTTGGAAACACTATACAGGGTTACTCTAGGTCGGAATCTACTTGACTGCACTTAACAACAACAACTAAGACTGAGGAGGAAAAGAAAGCAGCCAGAAATGTATAACGTGAAACAGGAGAGTGTGGTCTCATAGAAATCTAGGAATGAGAATATCTCAAGAAAGAACTGGTCAATAACCATGCTACTGCTGCTGCTGGTATCCTTTAGTGTTGTCAGGTCAGTTTCGACTCAGTGACCCTGCAGAGGATTTCTGAGGAGAAGCTGGTGAGATTGAACCACTGATGTTGCAGTTTAGCGCTTTTCCTATAGTGTCACATGAGGACTCCAAAATGCTGTTGGGAAATCAAATAATACAAACAGGAAAAAAAGTGCTTATTTTTTTGCCAGGTGTGTATTGCTAGATACTATAAATTTGAATTCTGCCCCTCCCAAAATATATGTTGGAAATCCTAACTCCTATATTTGTGGTTCCAACCAGTTGATCTGCAAGAGAAAGAAGCAGCAATTGGCCTCTGGAAGGTTTAACAGCCTTGAAACTCTATGGGGCAGTTCTATTCCATCAATACAGGGTTGCTATAAGCAGGCATCAAAGTGCTCTGGTAGCACAGTGGTTACAAATCGGGCTGCGAACCACAAGGTCAGCAGTTTGAAACTACCAGCTGTCCCGCGGGAGAAAGATGAGGCTTTCTGCTCCCATAAAGATTTACAGCCTCGGAAACCCTGTACAGGGTCACTGTGAATCAGAAATGACTCCAGGGGACACAGCCACCATAAAGCAGGCATCAACTCCATAGCAATGGGTTATGCATGTGGCTATAATCCCAGTTGAGACAGGGCTGCTTTTGTTATGTAAACAAGGCATTGTAAGGTGTGTCTTTCTCTTTCTCTCTCACTGCCATCAAGTTGATTACACTCAGGGCAACCCTGTATTTCTGAGGCTGTACATCTTTACAGGAGCAGAAAGCTTCATCTTTCTCCCTTTGGACTGGCTGGTGGGTTGGAACTGCTGACCCTGTGCTCAGCAGTTCAGTGTTTATCCTATAGTGCCACCAGGGTCTATCTTCTGAAACATAAAAAGAGTAAGCAAAAATTAAGGAAAATAGATGCCGTAACACACGAAGATTGCCCAGAAACCAAGGAATACAAGTTGTAAAAACACAAAGACCTTCCCCAGAGAAGAGAGCCTTCCCCTAGAGCCCATATCCTCATTTTAGACTTCTAGCCTTCTGTGAGAAAATCAATCCGTTTGTTAAACACTTGTGGTATTTCTATTATAGCAGTATTAGATAACTAAGATGGAATCCTGGTGTGGTGCTATAAGATAAGCACTAGACTACTAGCTGCAAGGTCAGCAGTTCAAACCCACCAGCTGCTCCTCAGAAACCCTATATAGGGTTCCTATGAGCCCAAACTGACTCACGGCACTTATCAACAATAGATAACTAAGATACTAGATATTTGGTATTGTATTCTTACTTTTTTCTCTTGTAATCAGTTTTACTATTTCTCCCAAAGCTATACATGTACATCACACAAGTGAACTGTAACTTAAACACAACTGAAAAGAAAAACATAAAAAAAACCCTCATAATCTTACACAGCTAAAGATAACTCTTAATATCTAAGTGTATATACTAACATATATAGTTACAACTATATATACAAACAAAAATAAGATAAGTGACCCTCTACAGGGTTTTTCCTGAGGAGCAGCTGGTAGATATGAATCAATGACCTTGTGGTGAGTAGTCCAGTGCCTATCCAGTCCAGTGCCTATCCTACAGCACCATACCAGGACTCTATATTTTCATCTTACTTACATACACTGAATTATCTTTCTATATCAATGGACGCTGATCTGCAATGCTATTTTTAAGGCTATATAGTAATCAATCATTAAGTGCCGTCTAGTTGGTTCCAACTAATAGTGACCTTGTATAGGGTGTGACCTTGTAAGTCTTGCAGGAGCAGAAAGCCTCATCTTTCTCCCGAGAAGCAGGTGGTGGCTTGAACCACCGAACCTGTGGGTCACAGTCCAGTATTTATCCTACAGAGCCACTATGTTCCTGTTCCTTAAATAGCAGTAAACACATGAATACACAGGTTTATTTAACAAATCTTCCTTTGTTAATTATTTTTTATTATAACGACAAAAAAAAAGACTGTTTTGCCATTACAAAAAGAGCTGCAATGAACATCATTTTAGCTAAATATCTGAACTTGCGGAATTATTTCATTCCTAAGGACGAATACATAGAAGTAAAATTGCTACCTCAAGAGTCGGATAGTTTATGGACTTTTGCAATGTAACTGCTAAAATGTCTACCAGAAAGATTTTATTAATTTATAATTTGACTAAAATTTAATGTAACATTGAAAAAAAAAAAAACTTAGAATCAGTGACTTGTTCATGCTAATTTTATAACCTGCCCCTTAATAAATAACAAATAATAGTTTTCCAGTTGATTTTCCTCATGTGTAGCAAATTTTATATTAACTATAAATGAAAAGACAAGGTAAAATTTTGGAAAAGAAAACCTTTCATAAATTATTGAAACTAAGAAAGGAAATCACAGTATAAAATATAAGTTTATGTTTACCTTTATCAGCAATAAAAAGCCTCCTGGTACTATTATAAACTATATCTGCTCATGAAGAATGAAAGGATAGTCCTAATGAAAACATAAGCAAATAAAAAGGTACAGAGTAAACAGAAACAGGACAAGAAATTGGTTTATTCTGCTAAAAAGTAACAGATGGTCAGAGAATGTCTGCTTCTCTGTTCCTGAAGATGTCCGTAACTGTGTACTTACAACAGAGGTCTGCGTTCTTGTCCAAATTCTGCTTCATAGTAGCCATCTCTGCAGTCTTTTCCAACTAGATCATGAGGATGAGGTTTATAGGGGTCATTCTTTGTTATTAATGTAATTCTCACTTTTCCTTTTCCATAATAGTTCATAATCTGAAAAAAAGGAAAAATAAAATATGTAAGCCATAAATATATCCAGTAAGACCTGTGAAAGCTGGAACCTGTACAAGGTAGTTCAGTGTAACAATTGGTGTCTTTGCAGGTACATACACTAAAACTTGAGTATTGTCCATTAAAATGAGTGAGACATATGTGGTAGGACTGAACCTTGTCAAAGGTGGAAAACTCTCAAAACCTGGATAAACAAGGAGGTCCTGTTGAGTTCTAGCACTCACAGGTGTCACTGTATGTATATGTTGTTGGGAAGCGCTGTTGTGTTAGCTCTGACCCACTGAGACCCTGTATAGGGTTTCCAGGGAGCAGATGATGAGCTTGAACCGCTGACCTTGCAGTTCGAACGGCTTTGCAGACTGCGCATTAACCAACAGCGCCACATGAGTACTGCATTTGGGGATGGGGGTGAGTGTGGGAGTGTGTCTCAAAAAAGTTCACGTAAAAATCCACTGTCATATTTTTAAAAAACTTTGAATTTCAAAAATTTCAATACCTTTAGTTTTTTCCAGAAACTTTTTGAAGCCCTTACACACACACACACAGAGTACATAATGTCTTTGTTGTTGCTGTTAATTGTGGAGTCGACTCATAGCCACCCTGTATAGGATTTCCAAGGAGTGACTGGTAGGTTTGAACCACCACACTTGTGTTGTGGTTAGCAGTCCAGTGCTTATCCTACAGGGCTACAGGTTAGCTTATCCTAAAGCCCAATTAACTAGTCCACTGCAAATGAAGGAAAATTTCCAAAGAATACTAGTAGAAAAAATTTACCTCTTAGTTTCTGGCATATATTTTCTCTCCAAATTTCAATTTGAGGTCAAATCATCTAATGCTCCTTCTTTTTATTTTAAAACAAATACAAAATTATGCGAGAATTTTACACAGAATGTGAGAAAACACTTACATGTCAAGGCACTGAATGCTCAGATCTTTGATGTGCTATTCTACTAAAAACATTCTTTGGAAGTACGTATTTTAGCAACACTGAAAAGTGATATATCAAAATGATGATTTTACTTACTATGTAACATTTCATTTTATAAAAATATTTGCTAATCATTAAGCATATTCCAAGGGAATGCGGTGGCTCTGTATTATAAGCAATGGACTGAGAACCACAAGGTTAGCAGTTCAAGCCCATCTGCTGCTCCATGAGAGAAAGAGCAGTTTGCTCCTGCAAAGACATACAACCTTAAAAAATCCTACACAGAGGTGCTGTGAGTCGGAACCGTCTCCCCTCAACAGCACTTAACAACAACAACAAAAACATAATTCCAAGTATCCACTGAACAATGAGAGTCCTGGCGTGGTGCTGCAGGTTAATGTACTGGACTGCAAAATTGGTCTGAATCACAAGGTCGGTGGTTCAAGCTCACCAGTTGCTCCTTGGAAACCCTATACAGACAGGGTCACTGTGAGTCAGAACCAACTCAACGGCACTTAACAACAACAACTGAACAATGGGTAGACAATGAAGTCACACTGCGTGTAACCAGATAAAGCTTTATACAGAAAGTACATCTAGAAGACCGAGAGTGAAGAGGAGAGGTTAGCATGAGAGAAGGAGGAGGGTATATGAGTATGGGGAGGAACTAAAGTTCAGTTTGAAAGCTAGCAAATTTGCAAGCACAAAGCAAGGAATATAAGAAAGGTAGTTCAGAGTAAGAATGGGTGGCTTTACAAGTACATGGCACTAAAACCCGTAATTTTAATTTAAGCATAATTTGAGCAATAACCAGGAGGTGACCAGCCTTCCTGCATGAAAGAGAAGACAAGGCACCCGACTGCATGGCAGGCTGGTCAAAAGCTCAAGTGGGGAAGCACTCAGGCTCAACTACAGCAGATGTTAAAGGCATTTCAGAGAATGTATTAAATGGAGATCTTTTAAAAAGTTAACTCTAAAAAGGACTGGAAGAATAGTATCTTAGTTACACTTCATTGAAATTTTTGACATCCTCTTAAATGAATAAAAGGACTTTTAGGTACCCAAATCCATAATGCTGCCAACAATGTAATAAAAATGAGGAACTGGAATTTAATAATGTAATTTTTTCATTGAGTTACTCTAAAATTTAGCAATTCCCTTTAAATTCAATAAGATAAGGTTGTAAATAATTTAGTTCTAAAACTAAATTAAAAAAAAAAAAAGCTAAAGAGGATAGAGAGAAACACTGTTAACTGATGATATATGGGGGGGGATAATAATCAATGTAATGAAACAAGCTATATGAATGGTTGAATGTGAAGCTGATGATGTGCCCTGTAAACTTTCACTCAAT